TGCGGGCGGGGTGCTGCCGGCGGCATCGTGGCGGCAGTGCTCGTCACCGCCGTCCGGATGGAGAAGCTGCGGGTTAAGCTCTTTGGAGGGCGACTGTAACGCCTCTCACTGGAGTTGAGCGGAGGCCACAGCCTCCTTCGCTCTCCTCCCGCGACGCTGCAAATTCAACCTGTTCAGCTGCAAAATCGATGCGGCGGCGGAGGCCCTGAGTGGGGTCGAGCCCTCCGGTGCACGCGTGGTGCTAAGGAGCAGCTCTCGGCACCTGAGGGCATCTCAGCTCATCTCCGGTCCTTCCCCGGCCGGCTGCTTCGTGCCCCCCCCCACCCAAGAGCGATGCTTAAAGCAAAGCACTGACCTCCCTGCCTTTTATTTTCCTTTTTTTTTTCATTTGCGGAGAGGGCATTGGCCAAGCATCGCGCCTTTCCCCGGCAGCGAGCGACCTTCAGCCACTGCAGCCGGGATGGAGAGCCCCCAAACCAGCTCCCTCCCCACCAGCTGGGTCCTGTTAGGAGCGGCGAGAGCGGAACGTGGGCTGGGAGAGGCGGCCCCAACGTCTGCCCGGCATCTGGAGCGGGTTTTTGGAACCCATCCCCAGCTCCATCCCCGTCCCCCAGTCCTGCAAAAGATACCTCGTTAGCTGATGGCATCTAATGACAGCTGAAGGAGAGCCGAGGATGCAGGGGCGGTGACCCCAGGCGGGCAGGCGTCGCGGAAAAATGCCCCAATGAGGTTCTGGGGATGGCAAGAGCAGCCGGCCGGGCACCCGGTGCGGGGGGCTCGGGGTGTCTTTGGGCAGCGCAGCACCCAGGATAAGTGGGAAGCAGGAGAGGGATGGGGTGGGGTGGGTGAGTGGTGGGGAGCAGCACCCTGAGCTGCTCCGGGGGGGCTGATCTCCCCCACCCGGGCTCTGCAGCTCCCGGGGGGCTGCAGCGAGCGAGGATGAGATCGCCGCTGCTTGAATAGTCAACTTTTTTTTTAAAAAAAAAAACCCAAAACTAAAAAACAAAACAAAGAACAAAACCAAACAACCCAACAACCAACAAGGCACAGCCCCCGGACAGATGGTAGCTCTGCTGGGGATTTTGCTGAAATTTATTTTCTCTCGATTTGGCAATACGTGATTTCCAACGCTGATAATCATCTTTGTGCTTGTGGAGCGTCTGCCTTTGGAGGAGCCCAAAATAGGCAGCGATAGGAACCGGTTGGAAGAGGGAGGTGAGAGAGGAGAGCTCGGGGTGGTTGTCCAGTTGGGGAAACTGAGGACAGAAGATTCCCTTTGCCCTTCCCCTTTCCTTTTGCTACTCCTCCAGTGGTCATCCCAGTTTTCTCCGGGCGGTGTTGGATCCGTGGCAGCGTGGGTACGGCTTCTGACCACGGTTCTCCTTGTTTTCAGGTGACCTTCACCAAGCGCAAGTTCGGTTTGATGAAGAAAGCCTACGAGCTGAGCGTCCTGTGCGACTGCGAGATCGCCCTGATCATCTTCAACCACTCCAACAAGCTGTTCCAGTATGCCAGCACCGACATGGACAAGGTGCTGCTCAAGTACACCGAGTACAACGAGCCCCACGAGAGCCGGACCAACGCGGACATCATCGAGGTGAGGCCGCCCGTCCTCTCTCCGGCTTTGCCGTTGTGGTGGAGCCAGGGCCGGGTCCGGCACCGCAGCCGGGTGCAGGAGGTCGGTGCAGGGTGGGGATGGGTATGAGGAGATCTCCACGACACCCGGTGCCGGGCTCGTTTTGCATCTTTTTAGTCCAGCCTACAAAAATACTCCGTTCTGGGTGGTGGAGTTTGAGGCTGTCTCGAGTTCTGCGTTGATCTGCTGCCATAAAATTGAGATGCAGGTTTGCTTGGTGGGACTTCCCCGTGGTCCAGGCAAAGTGTGGATGGCTTTGGAGGCATCTCCTGGTGCCGCTGGGCTGAGGTGCCTCGGTGCGGCTGGTGGCATCGCCCCTCTCCGCTGTTTCCGACGTGCGCGGTGGGGTTGTAGGAGGTCACCCGTGGCTGAATCACAGAGTAATGCAGGTTGGGAGGGACCTTTGGGTGCCTCTGGTCCGACCCCTGCTCAAAGCACAGCCAACCTCAGGGGGAGGTGGTGTTGCTCAAGCCTTGTCCGGCTGCATTTCGTGGGTCTCCAAGGATGGTGAGTCCGGTCTGACCAACCCCAGCGCTGCCAAGGCCACCGTGCCATCCAGAGGGACCTGGACAGGCTGGAGAGGTGGGCCCATGCCAACCTCATGCAGTTCAACAAGGCCAAGGGCAGGTCCTACATCTGGGTCGGGGCAATCCCAAGCACAACTCCAGGCTGGGCGGGGAATGGCTGGGGAGCCGCCCCGAGGAGAAGGGCCCGGG